TATAAAACATGGATTTTTCGCTGCTGTTTCGAAGCTGGAAGTTATTCATTCTCATTCCTTTATATTATCGTGCTTTAGACGAGTCAGTCCAACGACGACTTGACCGAAAACTTCGTCGCGAAGAACGCCGGCAACTTCGCGAGCAGAAACGCCAAGAACTCGAACGAGAACTCGCGGAACAAGCAGAAGAGAGAAGACGCGAAAGACAAGCGACTTTAGAAAAGTTTGAAGAAGGCGATAAGAAAGACGAGGCTGAATATCAAGAGTGGGTTGAAAAAATTAATACGTTGCAGGAGGAAGGGGATAAAGAACGAGAAAGGATAGAACAGGAGTTGCAAGAGGTTAGTAGTTTTACTAAAATTATTTATGTGTGTATTTTTGTTTTGTCGCGTTAATTTGAATATAAGGTGGACATTTAATACAAAAGCTATTACACAGTAAAGCTCAGTTATCCGAAGTTCCCGATTCCAAAGAAATCTCTGAATAACTGGATTTTTCAGTTCAGTTAAATGGACATTTTTTCTTATCGCGTGTATGTACAGTTATTCAAATAACTGAACAATTGAAACAAGTGAACATATGGATAACTGAACTTTAATGTGTAATTATTCGCGTGAAAAGATTCAATGATAAAAATGGCTAAATATATGTGATTCGCAATTTTTAATAAAATTTATCAAATGAAGTCTCTTATTAAATCTCAAATTTTTTTACACTTTATTAAGGAAATAAATAAGACAAGAGAAGAGCGTGAAGAAAGGCAACGAAGCACTGGTGATTATTGTTATTAGATCTTTATCAATCTATATTCGAAAACTAAACTCTAAAATTTGATTCATTTAGAAAAACGAACTTTTACTCCTCCACAAGACTCAAACTTATTTCCAAAAATTTCGATGGTTGACTTATCACAAGTCCAATTACGATCTTCACGCCGTAGTGCTCAAAAACCTAATGTGACGTCGCCGTCTCATGATCCAACAGTTACCGAAGACCTGGCAGTGTCTTCTAAAAATCCTCCACAGAATTCGTCTTCAATAGAAGAATCAGAACAACAGAAAACAAACACAGAGAATGTCAAAGAAGAGGAAGAGATTTTAAATACAAGCAATGAGAGTAACAATAATAACAATGATAAAGATGTTCCTGAAAACTCTAAAAAGCTTGCGTCCATCATAACAAGCGGGGTCAAATTGACCGAATATTCAGAAGAGACACCGTTAACAGCTGAACCACAAGAAATAGAAGTTGTCTTAACATGGGAGAGTAAGAAGAATGCCAATCAAACGCCTACTCCAACAAATGTAAATGACGATCTTTTGATTGTTAAGGAAGCGAGAAAAGATACTATAGATGCTTTTAATACAGATACTGCAGAAAAAGAAGATAAAAAAGTTGAATCTCAGGCACAATCAAAAATTGTCGAAGAATCGGAAATTAAACTTTCAGATGAGGTAATTTGAAATAAAATTAAAATTACATTAGACAATTTTATTAAAAAATTCATCTTTTTAAATTCATAGTCTGAAGGAATAGAAAAGGTTACAGGAAAATTACCGCCTAAAGTGCCCATTTCTCCAACAGCTACATCAACGACGACAAGTCCTACATCGCCATCAAAAACACAGCCATCACCC